GGCCTGTGCTGCCCGGTTACGCCGTACTCGGCGGCGTACCCAAAGGGACTGAGACGGGTGCTCCATCTACGTGGAGATCACGGAGGTCGTGGAACGGCAGGGTGAAGACAATGAAACGGCGCTTCGCTGGCCCCCTTTAAATATACCGCAACCCCGTTATGGGATTCCGTGGGCGAACTGCTCACTCCATTATCTTAGCCTTGTGCTGGAAGCCTCCCGTCCTTTTTAGCGGAGTCTGCGCCGACGCTGTTACCCCGCACTGGTGCCGTTCTCCATTCACTCCGCTGGTGGAATTGGCCTTCGTGATCTGCCTGCTATGCTGACGTCCGCGCCGGCGTTTCCGGAGTGTGCCTCCTCTCCATCCGTTCTTCTAATGATCTCATGTAATGGGTCGGCCATAGGCGCATCAATAGCGTAGATGCGAACACTGCCTCCCCACCTTTTCCAGGAAACCTGCACTTCAACCCTTTGGTTAGGTATTACAGGCACTGTCTTGGATATGAGCTTTGGCTCTCTCTTTCTCCAATGTTTCTCTGCTCCTGGTATTAGCTCGTCCATATTTATCCTTCCCCTGTCGAACTTTTCAGCCCTTGCCTCGAAGAGAGCAAGCGGGCGGCAGGCACTGCCTCCCGCCACGGTAATAGGGACCTCTGGGGTGCTCTCTGCCCTAGTCATCAGATCGATGCTCCCTGCCCAGTGTGGTCATCCGACCGATGCTCCCTGCCCAGTCTGTCATCCGACCGATGCTCCCTGCCCAATCTGGTCATCAGACCAATGCTCCCTGCCCAGTCTGGTCATCCGACCGATGCTCGCTTTCTTCGCACTGTGATCTGACTGGGCGGCGGCGGTTGTTCATCTGGAACCTGGCCCTTACATCATGAGTTCCACTTCCCCTCTGTCTCTGGTCGCCAGGAATCCGTCCGTTTGCACAATCCTCCACTGTGAGTATTGCCTGCGACCACTAGCCAATTCCTTGGCCATGCCCTCTTGTCACAATTCGGAAACTGAGTTGCAAACACCAACGAAGCGACTGGCATACTATGTACCATAGGTGGATCCTGGAGGGGGGAGGGGGGGCACAGGGCCATGGCCCCCGAAAACCTCTGAGAGTATGTTTTGCCCCCCCCCCCCAAACATTCCGAGAACTTCATAAAAGTTTCGTCTACTTGCCGTCTGTTTTAACTTTAACTGTTTTAACGGTTTTGTTTTAACTTCTGTTTAAGATTCAAAAGCATTTCGGTGCGTTTTTCGGTTTTGAATGGTGTCCCTACTAGGTACTCGCGAGAGGCACCATGCACTGGACCTCGGATCCCACAACAGGCAGCTGGCGACGAACGGTTGCCCCCCCCCCCCCCAAAAAAAAACAACAACTCCAGGATAGATCCGCCCCTGCTATGTACTACGGCGGGCAGCAACTAGCAGCAACTTTGGCGGGCAGCCAAAGGACGTTTCGGCGCACGAGAGCAACCTCAGCGACGAGAGCTGGAATGAGCTCGGTGATGAACATGAACATGACCCCAAGGCATAAGGTCATTCCTGTAGCCGAGTGACGCGCGGCACAGCACAGAGCCAACGGGACGTGTAACAGCAGAGTTTGGAACCGGCCAGACGGCACGGCATGCTAGCGACCAACGCACACGTAAATGTATGTAACGTGTGTAATGTGCCTGATTGTGAATATGTGGTTTACAACAGGGAATCGTGTTCGATGACCACACATCTCTTGTCGTGATGATGACATCTTCGCATCTAAAATTATGATTCACGTTTGAGACGTTGGTGTCTGCCCTTGTTCGATGCGGCGGCGGCAGCCGCCCATGTCCGTGGCCGTAGCCAGCACCGGCGGCTGGCGACCTCGGCCGGGTCAGCCGCGTGCCTCCGACCGCGGCGGTCGGGTCAGCAGCCGCCGACCCGTGCAGCCAGGAGCTGGATCGATGCGACGCCGCATGACGTCAGAGCCGTCCGGCCGGCTTTTGATGAGGTCCGACCGTGACCGTGACGCAGCCGGGCGGCCGGTCGCCGCGACTTTCCGTGTCGCCGGCCCCTCTGCCCCCGCCCCCGGCCTTTCGGGGAAGGGTAGATCCGGGACGCCAGGACCGGCTATTTGGAGGC